CTTTTGCACAAGTTTGCGTCGAAAAAACAAGTGCTCAAGCCGTCTTGGCACCAACAATGCTGAGTCTGCTGCTGCCTGTTGCGGCGGGTCTTAAGGGTACCAAACTACGGGTTCTATAGTAAAGCATGCTGGAGGGGTAATGTAGAAGAAGGATCATACAATAAGAGTCGGATATGTAAGGATACTTAAATCAAGGTAATATTATACGTGCTATGATAAGCGTATTGTATGCAAGGGTACTATCTATGTTCTGCAAGAGGCATGATTTCGATGATTTCTTCAAGCACTATGTTGTCATTGAGCATGACTGCATAGGATGTCGCTTCATCAGAAAGCTGAAAGACCTAGACATTCACGAAAGGTCGTATTTGCCTGACAGCAACGGCAATGCCGTCTTGATCAAGATGGGAGTTTTCAAGAGGTTCGACGATGATGCTGTCCTCCAGTTGTACGAAGCTGGCTGGACGAAAGAACGTTTCGAGGAAGCTATATGGGGGTTTCCGAAAATAGGGGACCCTACTATAGTACCCTAAATAGTAGGATCCTTATTATAAAGACCTCAAAATAAGGTACCCCTAATTTTCGGAAAGTCCCATGTGGCCAGAACCCCGAGACTTCACAGCTACCGACCGTTGGGAGCGGCAGATCCGTCACCGAGCATGCGTCCTCCCGAAGCCGAGATGCTTTTTTTGGTCCAAGAAGCGGTTTAGGGTTTAGGGTTTAGGGTTTAGGCTTTCCGTAAAACATGATAATATCTGTCTTTTCGTGGTTTCTGTACGTGCATACTATGAGGTGCCTTCTGTCACTGGGGGTTCTTATGTGGAACCCAAGGCTACGGGGGTGTTCTTGGGTTTTAGGTAGGTTAAGTTTAAGTTGAACCCTAAACCCTAAACCCTGAACCCTAAACCGCCCAGCTCGGGGACCCGGAGTTTGAGGGATGAAGGCTTTGCCATGGCATTTCGGGATCATGGGGTGTCGCTTTGATGTTGTTCGTACCCTGAGGCCTCAGACCCCCATGTAAGGGCCTTGATAATCAGACGAGCGTTTTGAGGATACATGATGCGATGGACATAAGAAGGAAACGAAGGATCTCAGCAAGAGTAGGTTTCGGGCTCACTGCTGCGAGGTGGCGAGTAGCCGGAGTGGTGACCTCGCGGCGCTTCTGAAAGGCGAGCGGGTAAGAGGATTTTTGACAATTCGGGGCTTCAAGGATAAGGATGTTTATATTATTTTGGGGGTTCCATATTATAACTCTATACACCCCAAAACCCTATTCTCGAGTCGGGATTTAGCGTTTAAAGTCTTTATGGGTTGTGCTCTCAGAGTTTTCGGCTTTCGGGTTTGGGATTACTGGCTTCGGCGGGAGGGTTCAGGGGTGCAACTCCCATCCCACCAAACTCCAAAACGCCACTCGAGGGGATCCTCTGAGACTTCAGGAGCAACCCTAGACCCTAAACCCTAAGCCCTAAACCCTAAGCCCTCAGACGCGACGAGGTGTTGGTGGATGTGGCGGTAGATGAGGGCAATGGTGAAGGAGCGGATGATGATGCACACAGCTTTATGCAGAGAACCTTGACTGGAATGGCCCGAGGACCTGGACGAGGAGAGGATGAAATGTGGCAGTCCCGGCTTATGGCCCTCCAGGATGCCCTCACCACACAACCTCCGGCGACGCGGACTGCCAATGCGGAAGGTCTCCTGGCGAGACTCAGGTGTGACTCCAGAGTGAATGGAGGACAACGCGAGGACTTGATTGCGCTCCTGGTGGGGATGCAGGAACCGCAGTGTGAGGATGTCATGGCAGGGGACCTGTCCTGGCAGCTCACGTGGTGGTCGCGCCTGTTTGGAACGCAGGCACCGGGAGCTGCGGCCAGCTCCACAGACAACGTCTCCCTGACTCGTGTGACTGTTCCACGTGGGCCAGATCTGATCACGGACAAGCGCATAGAGGAGCTGGTCATGGATGAAGCAGAGGCGCGAGAGGAAGCCGAACGGGAGAAGCTAGGACGGGAGCGCCAGCAAGCGGAACACGAGGACTACGAGGAGAACCACAATGCCTACCAGGAAAGTCTCATGCATGAAGCCGAGGGCGACAGAGGGAGGCTGGATGCTCAGAGATACAAGCAATGGGAAGACTGGGAATGGGCTGAGGTCATGCGCAACCCGCCACAGAAAAGGAGGAGGGCTACTTTGGTTCTCCAAATCGGTGGGGCGGTGTCGGCCAATGGCCCGTGGGTGTCGCGTACACTCCGGCTTCCGTGTGGACGAGCTGGTGAATTTCCGGCTCTACGGATGGACATGAAGGTAGAGTGGGAACAGTGCCCAGATGATGTGGAAACGGTGCCAGCTCGAGGGCTGCGTGAAGAACATCAGATGGACGCGAAGGCGGATGATGACGTTGTGCAGAGCGTGACCTCACAGACACTGGAGGACCATGTGGTGCGACCGGTTGGAGCTGAGGAAGAAAGTCACAACACAGAGCCCGAGCCCCTGGAGCTTCCCCTGGAAATGCCAGTGCCTCGCACAGAAGCCACTCAGCTTGATGATGTGGGAGGTCACCAGCCCACTGGGCTGGAGGGGCTTGACTTTAAGGACTACGAACGTCTCTATGCCAAGTGGAAGTCCGGGGAATTGTCGAGTGAGGAGGTAGTGATCATTGGTGGAGCGGTGCTTCAGGAGCTCATGGAAGCGCAAGCTATTCTGGACGACGAAGCTCTTGAAGACACGCAGCAACTGCTGGGCACCGGTCCTTTGCTGAGCTCTACTACAAGTACCACGTCGACGGCGAACTTGTCTGACTTGCAGGAGGGGATCCCGGCCTACGAGCACTATGTGTCGTATGAAGAGTTTACGGACTTAGTGGAGCAACAGGGTGATGAGTTCAGTAGCAGCGAGAGTGAGGTTGAATCGACATGTACCGCGGAATGAATGTCTATGGAGAAAGCTGAGTCGAGAAGGGTGACATCTGAGTGAGTCGGGCTAAGTTTTCTGGGATGTGCAAATATGCACAGAAGCTCTCCTCGAATGAGGATTCCTGATCTCGCAGACGGAAAAGGGCCCTTAAAAAAAAAAAAAACCCTAAGCCCTAA